TTTTTTTAGGTAGTATAGTGTGTATATAGGAATAGATATACCCACTGTATTACAATTGGTACGCACCGCTAGGTTTCGAGAAAGAGTCATCAGAATATTATTAGAACATACTTTTGTTGAATTAGAATCTAAATTTTGGTGTTTTTAGTGAAAATTTTTTCCAATCATACATTTGACATTCAAATTGGCTTCAAAATCATCAAATTCCCCCCCTCACCAGTTAATTATCCAATAAAATTCACTACAATCATACCATTTTATCAACTTTGAGAGTTTTGTTGGCGAAACTTTACTAAATTAGGAAATTTTTTGTTGGGACCATTGTTTTTAGAAATTTTTTTTCATATTTTTATTGCCACACTAACACATTTCATTTTTGCCGCATTTTTCAAAATTTCGCATTCAAGTTTAACAAATTTTGCAACACAATTTTTTTCCATACAAGTCCAAGTACAAAGATTAAAACCAACTGATTAACAAGGAACATCAAAGATGAACAACAACAACAGCAGCCAAACCACCCCAGCTCACACCAATCAAGGTCATCCAGATAATCAAAATCAGCACGACTACTTTAATCAAGAAGATGATTTCGAACACGACTATTTTAGTCAAGAAGATGATTTCGATCAGGAGTATTTTAGCCACGACGAAGATGATTTCGAACAGCTCAACTACAATCATGATGGAACCAATGACTACCCTAAACCGTATCCTAAAGTTAAGTATCCTTTTGATGGAAGCACTGAAAACCTTAAGTATGGAAGATCAGCACTTGAAAACATGAAAACTGCAATCATGGAGAACATTAATCTGAAGCAAGCCCTTAGTAGTCTTGATACCCTCAAGTTAGTCAAACCATATCTTAAAGACAACGCATATCATTGGGCTAAAGAATTTTTCACAAACCTTCACCACAGCCTTGTTGGAGAACACCATCACTATTCCAGAGTTAAAGTTAATCAATTAGGAGAAGTTGCAAATACTGTTGTTATAACATTGAAGAATGAAGATACTGTTACTTTGCGTAAATTCCTCCAAGCCAATAATGAAGCTAAATCTTCTTACATTTTTGAAGCGTTTACTATTGCATTTGAAGAGAAGTTTAATGTCGTTTATGAATCAGCTAGATTAATTGAGAAAATCCAAACTATTCGTCAACGTGAACCACTTTTTGCCTACCGTCAAAGATTTCTTGAAACTTATAAGTATTGTAAAGAAGCAATGTCAGAAGCTACTGCAATCCGTTATTTTCTTGATGGTATGGATATCGAATATCGTAAATATTACACCAGAGACCGTGACAACTACAAAACCATCAAGGATCTTGACAATTTAATTGAATATCGTGATATTGATGATAGATTAAGCAAACGTAACAAAAATCATAGTATCCGCAAAGGCAGAAAAGCTTACAGCAATAATTATCATCCATACTCAGGACAAGACCATCAGCAACAATCTCAATCTCAGCCACAACAACAATCTGATCAACAACAAAATTCTACCCGAACTCAATCATCAACACCTATTTGTTACAATTGTGGTCAACCAGGTCATATTGCTCCAAGATGTAGGCAACAGCAGTTGAACCATTAGGAACGTTTTTATTGAAGAACAGACGGCAGATTTAAAAATCAAGATAACCGTGATTTGGTGATAGCATAATAATTGTGCTCAAAGTGTTAAATTTCTTCGACCATGCAACTACGATTTCTCGTTTCATTAGAAAATTACTCCAGTTTCTGTGTTAGAACTAGTGTGCACGAAATTATTCAACTCCAAGATATTGAGTATGAGAGCAGATTAATCTTTCTTTAATGAACATCGACGAACATAATCTTTCTTTTCATCGAAATTCGAANTTTTGAAGTCGTATTTCTGTGTATCTCTGTGATAGTTGTTCTCCAATTGTTGATCGTGGTATATACTGTGGTTCATTTGATTAGTGTCTTTACATTGTGTTTTGTCGTATTTTACATTTGTTTTTGTTTTTTTTGAATTTGTTTTACAAGATTTATTGTTACTGATTGTTAGTATGTTTGAATATATGTTTTGTTTTGTTTGTTTATTTGTCACGTATTGTAGGGGAGTAGGAATAACATTCTCTTGGTGGCGGGCAACCGTGATCAAGAGGGCTGCTACTACTATCCTTTGGCTATTATCAGGGAATCTTGCTCAGAGTGGGATGTGGATGTTGGATGGATAGACGCCGGCACTAAGCGGGGTGTGGTTAGCCCTAGATTTTCGTTGTGACCGAAAACCGTGCTTTGCCAGAAAAGCCCCAAACTTTTCGTTTTATTTGTGTTTATTTGTGTTTTTAAAGATTATTTGGTTTTCGGATCCTTGGACCACAGGTTCTAAAACCGACTTGTTATTTGTGATTATTTGTGATATTATATTTGTGTTTACTAAGATTATTTGGTTTTCGGATCCTTGGACCACAGGTCCTAAAACCGACTTGTTATATGAGATATGTGTTATGAGATTTGATATTATTTATGATTATGTTTTTGTTTTTTTTTGTTAGTCTTATCCATCCCAACAATTGCAAGACAGAAAGCAAACCTTGGGTACGTATCTAGCTTGGGGTTAAGGGTGCGTTATGCCAAGATTCCATTTTCTTTCCAAAGTTCCAAAGATTGTCGTTCATTAGCAATGTGCACGTTGTTGGTGTCTGGTTTATTCTTTGCTTAAGCTGATTTGGTTGCAAAATTTGATTCCTGGCCCGTTGATGATTTTGAGACTAAAATCTTTCCACCACATGTTGTTTTGCCTCCATTCCTTCCACTCCTTTGTCGCTACAGTCGTTTCGGCGGCTCAATGGGGACATTGAGTTTGGGGGAGGGGAGAGTGTAGTGGGTTGGTATCACTCCAATATGCAGGAAGCTTAAGATTCTGTGGATTAGTAGAGAGAAGTGGTTGTCACGTGTGTTTGAGAATATGCAGGATATATCTGAGCCCAGAGATATATAAAGAGTCAGGATTCCTTGAGACATGAATTTGGATTTGGAACTTCTTTTTTATCAAGCAATCTTTTTATCAACAAGCATTCTTTTACAACCAATTAATTTATCAACCAATTAATTATACTACAGAATCTGTTAAGAGAGGTTTTCTTTAAGAAGAGTTACTATCCATAGTTCATATTAGAGCCATAAATAACCAAAGCAGCTCCTTTTCTTTATTTTTTTTAGGTAGTATAGTGTGTATATAGGAATAGATATACCCACTGTATTACAAGTTCGTGAAAAGGGGCGTGTGGCGTAGTTGGTAGCGCGTTTGCCTTGCAAGCAAAAGGTCACTGGTTCGATTCCTGTCTCGTCCAATTCTTTTCTGCTCATTTATTTTTGAATCCAGTATAATCCAAGCTATTATTTTTCATGTTTAGGGTCAATATTATATCATCGTACCGGATCATTAAAGACAGCGAAATATAGGTGGTTCATATTTTTCATTTTTAACAGCTTGGATCTGACCAATTGCACGATTCCATTACTGCAATCTTTCCTTTTTAGAAATGGGACGAAAATAGACTGGGAGATTACAGGACACTTGTAAAAGACTGTTGGGCCAATTTCAAAAGTCAGGCTCTCATAGAATACTCCTTTTGTAAATATTTCAAAGTACATGAATTATTAAGCTCCTTTCTTTCAAAGCAAAACTTAGGAAGCCTAGTTGAGGACCTAACTGGGTCAAATGATAGAATAAGTGTGTGGGTTGTAATACCTAGGGCTACCTTGAAAGGAGTTATTAACAAAGGGAGTGCAGAGTCCGAGAGTCTTCAACAAAATTTTTCTCTGAATATTTAATTGGCAATACTGTGGGCCCAATGAATTCCTCTAAGTGTCGTGGCTTATGCTTAGCCTAGGTCCAATTGAAGTTGAGACAGTTGTGAGTAATTTTGGAAAAATTGTGACGACAACTACATTCATCTGTGAAGCTAATGAGTATTTCGCAGCCAATTGGTGCAGAACTTCAACATCTCCTATCAAATTTTGATCTTGAAGTACACACGGGGTTCTTGCTTGCATTTATGTCTAACTATCTAACGTTCCTTGTGTATTTTTCTGTTTCTAGTACATTAAGAAGAAATCTAATTTACGGTGTTTCACGTATTCAAATATGTTGTTGAGAAAACGTTCCAGAAATACAGGAACCTTATTTTTTTAAGGAGCATTCTTTTTCGCTTCTTCCGTGGATACTAAAAAGATGTCACGAAGAGAGCATTTCCTCTTTGAACAAATGTATTGTCTCTATTGAAACTCTCAAGCTTGCTGACAAAATATATTGAGGAAAACACGCATGAAGTAACTTGAATACACATTGCATGCAGCCAAGAAAATATAAAGATTGCAGCAAAACAAACCCTAAACAAAACCTTCACTCGCATAGAAAGATAGACACTTGCTAAAGATCTGGCAGATTTCCCCATGGGGGACTCTGGCTTCTAAGTATCTTCGTGGGGGATACCACCTTTTGTATGGTAAGGTTGCCTCCAAATTTTGGTATCCCCCACGCCAGCCGTTCAGCT